ATACAGACTACTATTGCCAAACTAATAGATTTTTAAAAAGTAAACAGAAGAAAATGGGAAAATAGACAATATTATGTTATACTGGAAGTTTTTCTAATTTACTGTTTTTTGTCTTGGTTTAGGAGAGATAGAGGAGCCTCCTTTGAAAAAAAAAGGTTAGTTATTTTCACTTTTGAAAAAAATTATTTTTCTTTTATGATAATGTTGATTTTCAGGACAACTCAAATATATTTTACTTTGTTGTAGACAATTTACTTTTAATGCAAAGCTTTTGCTTAATGGTTAGATTAAGATTTATAGTTAGGAAAAGAAATACTCAACTCTTTCCAGTGAAGCTAATCCCACCATTTTTCAGGTGATTATTTTCTTAGTGCCTTCTTCGGTGGGTGCTCGAGTCCATTTACATGCAGATCAATGTGAGCTGGAACTGCAATAATGAAGGGTCAATCCTATGGTTTTCTAAGTGGCCCAGAAGATGCTGATGCCCATGATCTTTATTCTTACGGTGGCTAGATTTACTGATTTTGGGTTTTTACTCTTTTTCTTCTTATGTTATTGTCAGTGTTATTTTTCAGTTTTAAATGACAACTCTGGAACAGGGTGACTGAGGTAGCATGCGGGATAATAATCATGGAGGCACAGGCGTGTGTATCACATTTCATCTCAAAGCAGTAGAGTCACCTGCGTGTGCTTGATGTGGTGTACAGGGATTCCTTAAAGGAATAACCAAGGTCTTCAGTAACTGAACGGGATGGTCAGAAATCCAAAAGACGGGAGCAGTATGGCTGGGAAAAGGAGGTTATAGTTATGGTGCAAAAGCCTCAGAGAGGCAAGGATTTTACAGAAAGGAGAAGGAATATGTCTAGAAGGAATAATAGGGAGCAAGGGATACCATCCTGAGGTATACTTGGTATGCAAGAGAAATATAAAAGCCAACCTTAATACAATTGTGATGTTTCAGTTGTTGCTGTACATGTTCAGTAACAGCGCTTGGGAGTATTTACTCCAGAGGAGAACTTGCTGGCTGCTGTTGCTATCTCCCCAGACCTACCATGGATGCAAACAGTGGGATACAAATTTGGAGCCTCAGCCTTGTTTGAGCAGAAGATGATCCCTTTACTGTCTGGGATAAAATCCACTTAGCGTATGTTAGTTTGGAAAATTTGAATTGCTAACTTGAATTGCCCAGTAAAAGAGAGATAAAGTAGTGAAACTCAAATGTGGGAATGCCATCCAGAAATAAAAGTGTTTATGAAGTTATTAAGAGGAGAAAGGATGGGTTTCCCTACTCACAAATCCATGATGAGAACCCAAGAATTCAAGAAATTCTTCCATCACCAAATTTGTACAGTTACTGCTATTTTTACCAAAGTAAAAATTCAGCCACCTTGTTACTTATGGATGGAGTTTGCAGTTCTAATTTAATGTGGAATTGTGGTCCAGTTAAATAAGCTCATGGCTGCAGGATTGATTATTAAACAGGTTATTAATATGGATGAAGTTTTTGAATCTGCTCTTCTGTAGCTTAGATATATATATATATATATATTTAGCTTTAGGGTATTAGATGTAGTACCTAGTGTCTTTATATTCTTTACTCATATTTACTTTCAGTTTGCCAAAATTTTAAAATATTAAATTCTATTACCGAAGACTCCATGATGATGGTCCAAGGCACTGATCATCATAAAATACTAAATTTTATTGTGCAGTTATTTAAAACTTGTAACTATAAAAGCAAATACCATTGTAAATCACATATCCTGAAACAATTCTGTGCTGTGTATGGTGCGTGTGCTTTGTTTATCTGGAATCATCCTGTTGTTAATGGCATTCACACCAGGGTACACATCATGGAAATGTTAAATCGACACTTTCCAGAGGATAGAGGACTACAGATAGTGTCAAAGGAATCAAATACATTTCTATGCTTTCTTAAAATGATCTGCTGGAGAATGTATCCAAGGTATCATAGTACTTCTTCTAAGTTATGAGATAAAGAAGCATCTTTCACCCATCCTCAAATTGCTAGAATGCCAACGAAAGAGATCAATAGGCTACTCCTGCCCTGTCTTGCCTACGTCTGCTAAAGGAGGAGTATGGTGCTGCCGCTCAGGTGTTCTGTGTCATGAGGGGATATTCTGAAGTCAGAGGTAAGGCAGAGCGGGGAGATGAGAACAACGGCAAGTTTCATTTAATGACTTTGCCTTTTATTTAGCGGAATAATGTGAAAAAGTACAGTGCTCTCGAGGGAGAGTCCCATGAGAGCCAAGCAAAAAGAGCATCCATAGGAAATGCTGAAAGCTAAAACTGGCTTTTAAAAATTTAAATGTAAGCAATTATTTTCAGTTATTCTCAATACTTCTTGCTAGGAAGTGTCACTGGTTTGAAAGAAAGAAATTTGAAACAACCAAAGCAGTGTAGCTTAGTGACACTGATTCTTTTAAATATAACTGGGATATTTTCTAAGGCAACCACACACTGTTAAAGATGCATTGAATAAACCCATGGATGCCACATTTCTGTGATTCATTTCAAATTAATTCCATATTGTTCAAAAATAAATTTAAACCTACTGTATGTAATTATATTATGAAACATTTTATCTAATTGAAGTCAAACCTTATCTTATTTCACCTAATATAAAATGTTTAATATTTTGTACCTTCTACTGATAAAAATTAAATTATATATTATTTGCAGACCAATTCACTATGCATATGTAAATATATACAAATGTATGTAGGTGTATATATACATAATACATTATGTATCATTTATTCATTATATGTATATTATATGTATTTTCTACTTCATATTAACAAAAAAACCCCCATATGCTAGCTGGCTGCTCAATAAATATGTATATGTAAATGTACAGATTCCTCAAAATACACACTAAAATTATTTTTGATTTGAAAAGCAAAGTTATATTTTTTTGACAGAGAGTAAGTTTGATTTGAGTAAGAAATTTGAAAACAAAGGCTGGCTTTTGCCCATTAGTTAGCATAGCAAGCATTTCCCATAAATTAAGTGAGCAGCCAGACCAAAGTTTAGATGAAATACACCTAAAGCAAGAAATACATTTGAAACACAAAGCAGTATCATTTAATCCAAATTATGACATTTTACAATTTTTTGTTAAGTTGTAATTAATATACAGTATTATATTAGTTTCAAGTGTACAACATAGTGATTCAATATTTTTATACATTATGAAATGGTTAATGCATGAAAACCAGTTATCATCCATTACTATACAAAGTTGTTACAATATTACTGACTGAATTCCCTATGTGTACATTACATTCCTGTGATTAGTTATTTTATAGCTGGAAGCTTGTACCTCTTAATCCCCTTCATCTATTTGGTCTGACCCTCCCCACTCCCTGGCAATCACTGTTTTCTGTATCTATTGGAATCTAAAAAACAAAACAAACTAACAAACAAAACAAAGCAGAAACAACGAAAAACAAACAACCCTATTAAAAAATGGGCAGAAGAGTTAAATAGATAGTATTTTTAAAACAAAGTTAAAAATACGTACCTATTCAGCATAGACATCTTCACATTTTTCCATCTCTTTTTCAAAAATAAAATACTGGCTTCTCACAAACATAATATGACTTTTCTTTCATATTTCTGCATTAATGTCTTATGATGCTGACTTTTCAGATTACATAAACATCCATAGAAAATATAATTTTTACTGGGGATATAGCTTTTTAATTTTTTTGTAGTAACATTTCTAAATGAAACAATGGATATACTTATCTCTTTTTATAGTTTATTCTTACTTAAATCTTAGTCTATAAGTCTGTATATAGAAATAATTATTACAGCACATATGTTCTTTGAAATGGTAATTTGAGGAGACAATAATATTCTCGTAATAAGAAATTACATTTAATAATGTTATTTCCTGACATCTAGCTTTAAAGTTAAGAAAGAATAGTTTCAGCCATTCTTTTTCTGGGAAGGAAACACTGGTCTTCAATTCTAGTGACATGGTAGCCTTGTGAGATAAATCATCAACTGCCTTAGTGGAAAGAAACAAAATCCCCTCTACACATTATGTTGAATTTCCTTGTTTCCTAACTACTTGCTCTTTGAACTAGGGAACCATCTTAAAGTTTGAACAGGACCCAGATATGAAGGCTGATACTCTGTGAGGCTGTTCCTGATGCATGTCAGTGGCAGAGGAAGAGGCTCTTCTTTGCTTAGAGCAAAACAAACTACATTCTCCTTAGAATTGTGTTTTAAAATTTCCCTAAAGCTCCTGGGGTTGAAAAGAGCCCAGTAAATTTAAACTCAGCAATTTCATTGTGTATCTTTCTCACTTTATTGAAATCCACAATAGCTCTTTGCAGTCAGGTTGAATAAGGAAGAGCCAGGAAAATTTGAGCATCATAAATATTCAAAACTTTAGGATCAGGCCATTCAGAAGGTTGTATCACATCACTGGGAGTAAGATCGATGGACATGTTTCTGGGCCAGAGATTTCATTGCATCCATCTCTGCTGGCAGCTTCAGTGGCTTACACCAGGCTGAACATTGTCTGAAAAATACTGTAAGTGAAAAAAGGACAGAGAATGGAAAGGTGACTCAACTTGTTAAAATTCATAGCCTCAGAATACTGGTTACCAGCTTGGTCCTGGTAGCACTGTTAAGTAGATACATTTATCTTGGGACCGCTCCTCTAAGTTAAGTCTGGATCAAAACTTGGCTCCATAACTGTGCTATTGCACATTGCCCTCAGGCTGCACGAGGAACTCACTGTTTTATCTTCTGTTTGTCTTTCCCAATATTGATCAGACCTGTGACAACAGGAGGCAAAACCCAGAGAGAGCAGACAGTGGGCTTGGAGATGGGCTCAGAATGAAAAAGACTGAGGAGGCTGAGGGGAAGGGAGAACTGGTGGATGATCCAGAGATTCAGTTCTCCAAGGAGTTGCAGCTGTAGGATCTTTGGGCCCAAAAGAACTTGTCTGCATCAAGGCAAGCAGACTGGAACCAGGACAATAATAGTGGGTACATGGGAGTCTGGAGGAGCTGGCCAAAGAGGGCAAGGGATTTGATTTCAGTACTAACATCATGGAGAATAAAAAGGCTGAGACAACTGATCTCCAGCCCAGTCATTTTAAGTCATTCCTGTT